TCGACTGCAGCCTCCCTAATGATCAGAGGCTGCCCCTTGAATTTGAAAGACTTAACAGATTTCATGCCAAGCATGGATCTAAAATCGAAAGCATCTGGTCAAACGACAGACCTACCGCAGTCAAGAACTACAAGCCCTGAAAGTTTATGAAATCAGACTTCATTCAATATACTCTCACAAGAAGAAATCAAGACTATATCTGAACACAAGCAGACTTTCCTTGCATGAATCCGGAGGAAGTCTTCCTGATTGCTAGGGTGTTTCAGATTAAGTCTGAGAAGTATCCGAAGATGAAGATTGCTTATGAAAGGGCTTGTACATATCTGAAAGAAATAATATGTGATTTTGCTAAAATCGATGTGGATATCCACCCAGCTCTTGCTCAGAAGTTCAATCTTCCTCCTCTTGATCCAACTCCGGTGCTTAATGAAGGTTATCAAGAAAGATCCCTTGGAGCAACTAACTTCCCAGATCTTGGAGTCATTTTCAAGCATAAAGATAATGAAACAAAATTTTTCATTCCAATGACTGCCATACATCGCCTGACCCGGAAGCAGCTGGAGATCACTCAAACTGCAGTCCAGATTTCAAAACACACTACTGTTGAAGTAAAGTTTTAAATCTCTAGGAGAATTGTTTAGCTCGGAGAAGTCAGGAAGTTCCGGTGGCTTCTCATCAGATTCCTAAAGATCGATAGATGAAAGAAAAGTTGAAGAGGTCACTTAGGGGGAAATTGTTGAAGCAAGAAAGTGACCCTCTTAAACTTAGTCAATCTGAAGCCATCTCCTGATCTGCATTCAGCTTCTCAACCGCAATCACCGACCACATCCGCAGTTGTCTTCATCAAACATAGACTTAGTTTTATCTGTTATATTTGCACTTTACATTGTTTTATCCAGTGTGCCTTGCATGGCCACTTAAGACAGATTTAGACTTTGTTTATTTTCTTGTAATCCTCGAGACTCTATATATAGAGCTCTCATGTTCTGATTGAATACATATCTTACATCTCTCTTTTACTCATCTCTTATCTTTCATATCTTATATTCTCTCTAAAAGATTTATCTAAACTTATATTCACCTATTAAGATCTAAACTCTCAAACTCTCCTTCTGATCAAGTCCTTGAGACTTCTTCACTTTAGCTGATCACTCTTACTGACTTGTGTTTGATTGCAAACCTTGTCACGAATCAGCTTAGTGTTTACTTGATATACAACTTGTTGTTATTTACATTTCCTTACTTTTCAGCAATTACATTTCCGCACCTAACAATCTAACAACTCTAACTTCTAATTATTGTTGAGCTTTATGATCCTTTGGGATTAACTTATACCGCAATATATAACTTGTTCTAACGTTTGTTCAAGTGTGTTTCTCAATAGTTTTTCTCTCAACAACCTTCTTCTGTCAGGACGACGACGCAGAAACCCATTACCTTCTATATCTCTTAATCGCACCACCACCAATCAATCTATGATCTCTTGTCCCTCTTATTCGTCCGGTCTCGTAGACAGCATTGAATGGACTTGCACATGACTTACGAGACACCATCATTGTCAATACAACCATCGTCTTTCGCTTCTCTTTATCTTCACAGGTAACATCTATTTCTCATAAATTCTTATTCACGTCAATTTTATTTCTCTTAATTTATTTAGATTGATTGGCTTGTAGATGACAACAAGTGTCTCATGGTTTTTGTTTATATATAGTGCATATCAAGTGTTCGATGGATTGCCTCAATGAAATCAATCCACTAAAAAAACTAGAAATTTGGCTCCTAAGGGGCTATTATACAGACTTACTACATTTTTGGAAATAGGTTTGATGAATTTTGTAAATTGGTATCTTGATTATTGTTGTGCAATGAAGAAGAGTGCTTGATGACTCTTTTAGAAAATTTGAATATTCTTCTGATGCTATTTATGGTCTTTAGAACTTCAATCTTTTGTTTAATTACCCTTTCTATCTCTCGACTTCTAGGGTTTGTGTAGATATATTGATACGCGTGTTGTTTCAATTTGACAACAACTCTTTTGCTATATATATATATATATATATATATATATATATATATATGCATTCTGACAGGGACAATAAACTTCTTATCTGCTTAAGGTGAACATTAGCTCAAGTGCAAGTGATTTAAAGTCTCTGTTGATGTTTATTTTTGAAATAAATAATTATCACTCGTGACAGAAAATAAGAGTTTCTTCAAACTATGATCTGCAACGAATATACGTGAAAGGTGGTTAGGACTCGCACTTTGTTTTGCTGAAGTTATAGGGCTATAAGAAAAAACACACATCAGCATCGTCGGCCCCAATTTTGTTTATATTCATAGAAGAATGATATTGTATATTTTGTGTCTATTGAAAGAAGAATGATATTGTCCATTATATGTATATTCTAAGATGAACTTCTATTGTTTACTTATTGTGAAATATATGAATAATCACAAGTTTTATACTGATATCAGAATTTTAATGTAATATTTTCTAAGTTTTATTCCAATTAAATTTTTTCAATAATACTAGACTTATAATAACCATTGTTTATTATATATTCAGAACATTCAAAACATTATTCTGAATCAAATATATAATAACCACTTTAACTTCAATGATATTTAATCATATTCATAGAACATTTTTCGGTCGCGAATGTTTTATGGTGTATATTCATCACGAATTTGGTAATTACAATATAGATTCTTTGACATATATAATGATTTTTATCATGTAATGGATTGCACAATTCAATGTCTCTACACAATGACACATAACTTCAGTACATAAGAATATAAACATATTAGTGTATGTTAGTTCTTTACTGCTTAACATGCAAGAATATGTTAATTACTTAAGACATGTTCTGCATAATCTGCAATGCATGTTATAATTGGTACATCATATATCTTAAACAAGCCATTCTATATAACCATTAAAAAAACAAAACCACCTTAACTATTCATATATCATATCTGTTAAACCATAACAAAACTTGAATTTAATATCAATCAAAACCAAAAAAAATCGCAACAAACATTTCATTTTATTTTTTCATCAAAATAGCTAGACCAATTATTCTACGTTTAAATCAACATAAAAAAACAAGAACATCCATTATATTCCCCTCCATCAAACCGCTTGTTGTTTGAGCCTTGTTCATCCTTCAACCTTCCACATCCTAAAATCATTCAACTTCGCTTCAACCTTCTTCATTTTTGTGTTTTTGTCAAGTTTTGAAAACGTCGCATATTTGTTCCATGAAACACTCGATGATCCTACAATATGTGCTAAAAATAGTGTATGACATCGATTGCTTTCTTTAATATATACAAGATATAAACATTCTATACACCTAATAACATAATGAACAAATTCTGGAAAACAAATACACTAATAACGACCAAATTTATATGAGCATATCAATTCTTATAGTGTGGACTATGTTTCCTTTTCAAAATCTTGAATGAAATACACTAGTAATGACCAAATTCGTTTTAGAATATAAATTTCTAAACCACATATGTCTTGTAAAAGTTTGCAACAATTTTTCCTTTTCAAATTTCGTAATGAATATGTATAACATGAACAAATTCCTTTAAGAATATCCATTGTTCTTTTTGAAATTCTGTGACGAATTGGCTAACACATATTCAATTTAACTCACATACGTATTACAAAAACCCTAACAAGATTCAAAAAAGAAAAGTGACATCGATTCTTCATTCTTAATTTCATATAGAACCTAAAAAACAAAAGCTATATTCTATTTTTTTACAGTGATTCTTAATCAACCAATAACTCATAACCCCTAACCTAAAAACCGTATTCTTTTTTGTTGAAACATGAACTTTGGTTTACCAAAAAGACATCAATGTTCGAATTTCTATTCACCAAATACACATTACACTGGAGAAAATCCAAATTTCAGTTTAATATCCACCAAGTAAAGAACAACAATAACAACATTCATAGAAAAATAGTTGAAATTGTTTATTACCTGGTCTTGAATTAACAAAATCATCATATGATAAATCCCAGGATTTAACATTCTTGTTAGAATTCTTTTACTTCATCTTTCCGGAAGCTCTGGTACTCCGAATTACAACTCGAATGAAAAAAACCCCACACAATATATACGATCCTACCTACAAACATGGATGAATCTTTTGAAAATTTGTTAAAATCTTCAAAAAAAAAGAAAAAAAAAACGAAGAACATGGTGACGAGCGAAGCTGACAGGAGAGTTTTTTGTAATTGATTTGAATAAAGATAGAAAACCGTCTGTTACCATTTTTCTCACTTGTTTTGTTTACCATTATACCCTTATCGGATAAAAATACCATTTTTACTTTTTTTCATTTAATTTTTATTAGACAAATCAAAACAATCTAAGCCATACATTTTCTTGATCTAGTGGTCGTCATCCATTCTCACAATATATATATATATATATATATAATATATATATATATATATATATATATATAAAAGAAAAGCAAAAATATAAAAGTAAGGATAAAGTGAACTTTTTAAATGAACTAAGGATATGCAGTGCAATTTCTTTAAACTATAGGGATGAATTTTGTCAAATTTTTAAAGGTTGGACTAAAAGTAAGAATCTGATCAAACCACAGGGACCAAAACTGTAATTTACTCAAAAATAAATTAAACTATTTTAAAAAAAATTGGTGTAACTGAAAATTTGAGGTATTGGCTGAAATCTTATTTGTTGTTCACTTTAGTTGCAGGCTCGCAAACACGAACCACATAACACAGAGTCCCTCTTGCCCGATCGCAGCCATGGCCGAAATCAATCACCCTTCAACCTTTTCTTACCGGTAAGCCTGTATTCATATTTCTGATCAGTCTCTTTATAAATCCTAATTTCCAGTACCTCGTTTCTACACAAATACTTCGGTTCTTCACTACCTATAAACCCTAGTTACTCCTTCTCTAGCTGAAATGATCTTTCTTCTTCGAAGAAAACATGCCTTCAAATCATCCCTCACTAATCCAAATACACTTTGTATCCAACGAATCAAAAGGTTATATCATTCCACCCCTCATGTCCCCTAAACCCTCTCAAAACCCCCAAACTAACAATCCTAGGGTTTTGTCATTCAAACCCTTTTCGACACAATCCTCCAAATTTCCCGAATATGAAATGCCAACAGTTACATGGGGCGTTGTGCAAGGCCGAAAGGAAAAACTCGTATCGCGAGTAATAATCTGCGATTACTTAAAAAGCATAGGCATAATCCCTGATGAACTGGAGAATCTCGAACTACCCTCCACAATCGAAGTAATGCGTGAACGCGTTGAATTTCTGCAAAAGATAGGGCTAACAATCGACGACTTCAATGAATACCCATTAATGCTCGGTTGCAGTGTCAGAAAAAACATCATTCCAGTACTCGGATACTTAGAAAAAGTCGGAATTCAAAGATCAAGAATGGGTGAGTTTGTGAAGAAATACCCACAAGTCTTACACGCTAGTGTAGTTGTGGAGCTTGTGCCTGTAATCAGGTTTCTTCGTGGATTAGATGTAGAAAGACAAGATATTGGGTATGTGTTAATGAAGTACCCTGAGCTTTTAGGGTTCAAATTAGAAGGCACAATGAGTACTTCAGTTGCATATTTAGTAAGTCTTGGTGTCAATCCAAGAGACATCGGTCCCATGGTGACACAATATCCATACTTTTTAGGTATGAGAGTTGGAACCATGATCAAACCATTAGTCGAATACCTAATTTCATTAGGTTTACCAAAGAAAGTGTTAGCAAGAATGTTTGAAAAACGCGCGTATATAATCGGGTATGATCTTGAAGAAATGGTCAAACCGAATGTTGACTGTTTGATTAGTTTCGGGGTTCAAAAGGAAAAACTCGCATCAATCATCGCCCAATACCCACAAATTCTTGGCCTCCCTTTAAAAGCTAAGTTATCAACACAACAATATTTTTTCAATTTGAAGCTTAAAATAGACCCCGAAGGTTTTGCACGTGTAATTGAAAGAATGCCTCAAGTAATTAGCCTTGGTCAAAATGTGATGATGAAACCGATTGAGTTTCTTCTTGGACGTGGGATTTTAGCACAAGATGTGGCTAAGATGATTGTGAGATGCCCACAATTGGTTGGTTTGCAAGTTGGTTTAATGAAGAATAGTTTTTACTTTTTCAAGAGTGAAATGGAGAGACCATTGAAGGAGTTGGTGGAGTTTCCTGAGTATTTTACTTATGGTTTGGAATCAAGAATTAAGCCGAGGTTTATGAGGTTGAAGCATAAGGGGATTAGGTGTTCTTTGAGTTGGTTTTTGAATTGTAGTGATCAAAGATTTGAAGAAAGATTGTATGGGGATTATGTTGAAATGGAAAGTGAAGGGCCCATGTTTGTTATGGGTGGAAAGTTGGAGTTACCAGGGAATGAAGTGGTGTGTGATGAGGAAGATGAGAGTGATGATGAGATACTTTATAGACGTATGGTTTCTCTTTAGTTTACACAAATGGCTCATAAGTTTTTAAAGTTATCAATTTTAACATCCCAGTTTTTAGAATTGCAAGAATTAATTGTGTGTTTGGGTGTTGTACATTGATTGCTGGAGCATCTATCTATCTTGGTGAATCTTGAAACTAAGCTACTTTTTTGTCCATTTATATTGTTATATATAATAGATGTTATTGATAGTAAAAGATCGGTAGATGCTGTGATTTGGGCTTTTGTATCTTGCTTGAGTTTTGGTTTCGTTTTAGTTTTAGTTTTAGATTTGATTTATGTGATTTTGATTTTGTTAGAATGAATTTTGAAGAAGGAAAATTAGGGTTCTTGAAAGAGGATGAAAAGGATAAAATGATTATATTTGGCATGATTTTAACGGCTGCCCCGTTGTGTTCAACAGTTTAGTACTAAAAGTGTTAAAAAAAACTACGTTTAAGGGACTACTAGTATAAAAGTGCAAGCTATTTGGCTGAATATAAAACATTTTAGTAAGCACAAGATCATTTTAGGGGTGAGCAAAAACCGAACCGACAAAAAAAAACCGATAAAACCGAAACCGATGCAAAAACCGATGGTGGAGGTTTTATTTTCTCAAAAACCGAAACCCAAAGGTTCAAACTCATTTTTATGTTCGATTTATTAGCATGCAGCCTACGTAGTGGTTACACAAACTGAAACTCAAACTCACAGATTTGAACCCAATTATCATCAAATTGAACGTTTTATTAATACTAAACCTAACTATCATCAAATTCAACATATAATATATATTAGAGTTTATTAGCCTTTTAAATAGTATGTATAATTGTATATAATATAAATTAGTTATTTATGGTTTATACCAAAGGGCTTCTGGCCCGGCGGTATTCGGTGTTGCCCTCCCTCCTTGAGGTTGAGGATTCAAGTCTCATCGTGGAGATATGTGGATTTAAGGTGTAGTTTAGAAGTAGGTTAGATTTGTCGTTTAAAAAAAAGTTATTTATGGTTACAAATGAAATAATGAACCTCAAAATCATGGTTTCAAAAAATAAGGAGACGAAACGGTTTCAAAAAATGAAGAGACGACATCATACAATCATACATCCCCACATGATCATCATGGTTAAAATAAAACCGAACCATATGCTTGAATTGGTTTAAAACCGATACCGAACCGATACAAACCGAAACCGCATTGAAAAACCGTAAAACTGAGCCATTGAAAAACCGCACGTAACGGTTTCCGAAATGCAAAAAACGTACCTTGCGGTTTGCGGTTCGGTATGACCTTAAAACCGCACCAAACCGCACCATGCTCACCTCTAGATCATTTTTGCAATTTAGATTGGGTGGTGCTAAAAAATCCCTTTTTTTGCCTAATAAAATCAAATCAATATTAAAATAATCTTCTTTTCTCAATTACTTAATTTATAGGATCATTTATTATTAGTTTTATTTTAGTTATTAAATTAAGTTAATAAAACTAGATTAATAATATATGTATTTCTCTTTTTAATAAATATCAATATTTTAAATAACGTTAGGTGTGATTTGGTGGTGTTTATATATAATATATATATATATATAATATATATATATATATATATATATATAATATATATTATATATATATATATTATATATATATCTTAAGGCAACATTTTGTTAAAACGTGATGTCAAATACAAGCTTTAAAACCAAAACACATCATGATAAACTTTTTAGAACCTAGATAAATATCACTAATTTATTAAAAAGCAATATATTGATTATATTTATATTTGATTGTTTTTATTATTATTATTAGATTAATTTACATTCTAAATAAATAAAAAAACTTATATAAAATTATATATTTTTTATTTATTTGACGCAAATTTTAATAACTAAATTTTTAGTGTTGATATATTTAAATGATTTAAATGATTTTAACTTCTAGTTATCTAATATCTATATTATTTTTTATTTTCAAATAAAAATAAAATATTTTTGTTGGATTCATTTTGAACTTTAAATAACATTATATTATTTTTTAAAATTATATTATACTCTAACAACAAACTATGATATATTATTGTTGAAGTTTTTAATAAAGAAATTATAGTTTAATGTCAACAAATTTATATTTACATCATTAAATATTATAAACGAGTAAAATGTAAAAACAACATTAACCGGTTTTTATTGTACAATTCAAAATCCGTTCCAAATTAGTCTATAACCGTTTCAGATTATCCTATTTACAACTCAAAAATGAACTTTAATTTGTGTATTCGGAAAAAAAAATATATAATGTAAATGAACAAAACGTCAAAAAAATAACATTAAATAATAATATATTCAAACAAAACATCAAAACAAATTAAATAAATTTTAAATAAAAAATATGAAGATAAATAAATAAAAATAATAATATAATTTTATATAATTTGAATAATTTATTTAAGGAATAAAAATATATTTATGAATAATCTATATTAATTTTATAAAAGTAAAGAAAAATCGATAGTGGGATTGAAGGGGGTGAAATAATAGTTGATGTGAATGAAGTGACTTGGGTTTTTTTTAAATAATTTATGTGGATTTTCTAAGATATCTCTTTAGATTAGATTCTGTTTGCACAAAGAGTGTTTGTTTTATGAAAATAAAGAAAAAAATCGATAGTGGGATTGATGGGAGTGAATTAGTGAAATAATAGTTGCTGTGAATGAAGTGACTTGGGTTTTTTTTTTTTTTTTTTTTTTTAAGAATTTATGTGGTTTTTTTTTTTTTAAGATACCCCTTTAGATTAGATTCTTTTTGCACAAAGAGTGTTTCCAATAGGCGAACATCGATATTGTTATAATTTTTTTCAATTACTTATTTGAAAAAAATAATTATTACTTATACTTGTATAATTAAAAAAATATGATATTATCTCTTTTTTGTAATTTAGTCAAAACGCATAATATAAATCATCAGTGACGTTTGAGTTTATTGACATACTTTACGTCAAATGTTCTCCGTTAATGGCCATTCAGCGCGATCAAGTTGATGAAACATGTATAATAATATCCCTCCTTAAAATTATTTAACATTTATGTTTTACTTCTCTAAAACTTAATATCTTTATCAATATTGTTATGAAAATAAACTACAAAATTAAAGGAATACAATCACGCTCTCTAAAGACACATTGCACTTTCTGTTGCAAAAGTAGTTTTGCATTCAACATACAACATCCATTGAAAATTCTAAGAAAAGGATCTTTGTTCAAAGTGAGGCATGAAGTTTTTGTGGCATCTGGGACAGAATTCTGGCAAGTGATGACAAACTACACAAGGCTATGTTCAATACCTCATGAGAACAACCTGGTTTAACTATCTTCTTCACCTGTAAATAACAACAACCCTCAGTATCATTTATACAACATGCATACTTTAAAAAAAACAAAACAAACATTTTTTTTTTTTTTTGCAGATTGCAGACTTTTGGTCCACATCTTCTCCTGTAGATGTCGACAAAAACTACAAACATTTTTCCTCTTAAAAATCAAATGCACCCAAGTCTCGTAAGTTTTTTTGATGTTGTTTTCAATAATTGAACTATTTAACAAATGGTATAACAAGATAAGATGGATTTTCGAAAATTTAGGGAACTTCTTTGTGTGCCCCAAATAAACGTAATAGTTTCCTTTTAGGGATATACCAAATCAATGTAAACATTTCCATTTTTGGAAAAATTCAAATCCAAGATTACCTTTTGATCACTAGTAGTCCTTACAAAATATTTGGTCCACACGATTTATCTATTTTGACACTACCAAGTGATAACATTACTCAACTTTTTTAATAGGTTTAAGCACTCAAGTTTCAACTATTGTTGTGAAAATTTTCAACTTCTAATTCATATGCACTATCAACTTTAGTACATATGAATTGGGGCAATGATATTACCATATCAAGTCTCTCATGAAATTCCTTTATCTTCTCCATGTAGTCCATCTCTGCTACACTCAACAAATGTTCCCTGCAGACGAGTTTAACTTTAACCCCTTGATTTATATCATCTGTCAATAGTGTCTCCTTTTCTAAGTTCAGCATGCTGTTTTCAAACATAAATGCTAATGTTAAATGGCATCCATAAATATAAAATGAAGCAGAGTCAAACAAGTTTAATTCAACTTGACACCTTTCCATCAAAAGCAAAAAAATATCATGAAACAGAAGGCAGCTTAGGATACAAGTAGAGACTAATCAGCATAATTTTTGGTGACATATGAAAACAATCAAATTAAAATGATAAGCTATTAATTAAAGAGGCGTTACAATTTACAAACCTGGGTGCTGGATGATCGTTGACAAGGGATGGATCTAAGACATCACTTTGTTTCTCATCTACCCACAAATGATGAGCATGCTGTGCATATGACATAAATCCAACATCAAAAGTTGATCTTTAATTGCTAAAAGTGCGACATATTTACCGAAATTTATCAGAAAGTTGTAGAATTATATCAATTTCAAACCCCACAAATCGAAGCATATGAACTAAAAACCTACACGATAATGAAAACTATGTTGGGAATATAAACAAACAGCTGGTGGGTCTTTCGTAACAATCAAGGAGCAGAACCATTATATAGATTGTAAAGCATATGCAATTGAAATTAGAAACTGAAAGAATGTTTACAGGTATGATACCGGAGTTTCCATCGCCTTTACTTCCTCCAGTGACGACGATGAAATTAGTTTCTGTATCGAATCTTTTTAATCGAACAAAACAACTAATCTAACATTTAGGGGATATCGAGTGCGACACAATTTGCATTAGCCGCTTTCTGAATCTCTTTTTAAGTCCTCGCACCGTCATCGGCATGTCGGATTAGGACCTGTATGAGGTGGGGTTTGTCAACAAAGTCTAGAGTAAGTTACATTAGTAGTCCCTATAGTTTGAAAAAAATGCAAAAACTCACATACAAAATAGTGAAAAATAAATGTTATAAACGCAATGTTTTAAAACCCAAGTTTTTAGTTGACCAGGTGTGATGACCGGTTCACGGGTCAACCCGGTTTATGTTTTTTTTCTTTTTTTTTCATATATTTTTAATTTCCTGTATAATGCATAGACATATAAAACCAATAATTTGATGTACTCAAAGTTTAAACATTGAAAAAATATCAAAACATGTTATAGGTTGTGCTTGTAATGGTTCTTCTTCCTTTGAATCTATATTTAACTGCATTGAAAAGCAATGTTATAATCAATAAACATATGTTAATTGGATCCTAATTACATAATCTACATAATCAAAAACCTTGAAACAGTGATCAATTAACAATAAATAATCAGTAAACTAACCAAAACCGTCACCTTTAGGAGAAGAAAACATCAATTAATCAATCCAAGCCCTATCAAAACAGGTCAATCCGGTTTTAACCGGTTCGACATAAACGGTTCGACCGCGGTTTACGGGAAACCCGGCCGGTTCGATCCGGTCCGTATTTTTACAAAAAAACCGTTCTCAATTGACCCGCCTTCTACCCTGGGGTCACGGTCCAACCGGCCGGGTCGACCCGGGTTTTAAAACATTGTATAAACGAAAGAAAAAAAACACAAAAAAGTGATGGAAAAAATGCACATATAAAAAAATGATATATATATATATATATATATATATATATATATATATATATATATATATATATATATATACACAGAAAAAAATGTTTTTAAACACAAATTCAAACTGATGAAAAATAAATACAAAAAACATATAAAAAGTGATGTTTTATTTTAAATAATATTAAAAATAATATTTATTAATAAATGACAATCCAATAAATTAAAAAGTAAAATGTTATACTTGGTGAATTCACAAAACTACAGAAATAGTTCTTTTGGTTTGAGGGTAAAAATGTCATTCTAACAAAATTTAACAACCTACTAAAGTTAACACATTATGACCAAAAGCAAATAACTATATTACTTTTTCTGAAAACTTTAAACATATAATTATATATTTTAATTTTTACATTAATATCAAAACTATATGGCCCCACTCCCATACCCATACCCCCACCCATTCCCCTATCCCACCCAACGCCTTAGACATTCCGGTATACATATCACGAGGCCACAAAAAGTTTTGCAGGAAACAGAAAGGAAAGAATATAAGAAAGGTCATTGGACATGCCTTCTCAAACCATACCCTTTAGGCCATATGAAGCTGAAACATTATATCATCCTCTGTCTATTCTCTCATCTCTATTTTAGGAACAACCGCAAGCAACCACCATCAGGAATCACCTTGACTGCCGGCAACTACCCACCACCCTAGCTAACCCCACAAACTTTCATCTTTCACACATCCATTTTAATCCATCCCTCATAATTTTCACACCACCACCGTTGCAAAGAGATGATCGCAGTTTAAACAAATAATTTTTTGGTTAATAACCTTTAAAACATGAGAAAATCGCCACAAAAAATGGGTGTAAGGTTGAATCAAGTGGTACATATGTTGTTTAACCCGTAAAAATAAAATAATACTTGAACAACTTATATAAAGAGTACGAATTGTAACATCCTCAAGTATATCTGTAAAGAGTCCAGACGGTATCTAACTGATCACAAATTGCAACACCATTTAAGCTCTTCTACACATAACTTACAAATCTAATCAACCACACTACACTGTTAATATCAATCACCGAAATTCAATGGAGTAAAATAAATAATAGATAAAACTCTATATTTGAAGGAACAAAACTGGATGCCACTCTTTGTTGGCAATAACTCTGAAAAATAAAAATAAAAAATAATATGAAACAAAACCGTAATCAATCCACAATTAAGATGCGTTGAAGCTCTCTGATAGTAGATGGTAATAATGTTTTTGCTGCAACAAAAAACACAAATATTAGAAGTAGATCTCTCTTTATGTTACAGGCTTCCAAGAGCAAGGTACAACTTCCAATGCATGATTTACAAGCCAAATCATATACCTTATCTGAGACAGAAGGTGAAATTTTTCCCAATGCTTGCTCAAAATGTATGGCTTTAATAGTATGTGGCAAGCCACCTAATGAGCTTTGTGGTTCATCACTAGCTTTTGCAGCTTCGATTTTCTTGAACTTCTCTTCAACTGCAGCCATGGCAGCTTCGTTAACCTGAATTTTTTTGACAAAATACCTCAGAAAAACTTGGCCTTGATGCATTTTTTTAAAGACTAAATGCAAGAAATAGCAACACACTTTTACTTATTTGTTTAGAACAATTGTTAACCAAATTTTTATGATAAAGGTTAAATGATCATTAGTACCTGGTAGCTTCAAATTAAATAGTTGAATGAACCAAAAATAATCTTAAACGAATATTATTAAATCCACAAAGAAAGAGATACGAACCAATGCGGAAAGATCAGCTCCACTTAAATTTGCACAAGCCTCACTTTGACCAATAGCAATCAAGTTCACGTCAGCATCTAGTGGTTTCTTTCTAGAAACAGCTTTTAAGATCAACCCACGTTCATCTGCACTTGGCAGAGGCACATACAAAAGTTTTCCAAATCTTCCTGGCCTTAAGACTGCTCTATCCATCACCTCGGGCCTACAAGCATTTCAAAAAGATCAATACAATAATTATATAACCATTTGTCATGAGTAAAGTAATTTATAAAAAGAAAGATGATGTGTTGCACCTGTTGGTGGCACCAATTACATAAACGCCCTTGCGTTGGTCAGCACCATCTAGCTCGATCAATAGCTGCAAAAAGAAAAGAGCTTTTATCTCTCCAGGTTACAAAGGTGTTGCTTCTTTTTTACTTAAAGAATTTAATAGAGACAAGACTTCAGGACAGTTTTTTCCATCAAGTCTTGTATGGGTAAAAAGTGACAAAAGGGTAAAATGGTCATTTACTCTCATTCATTAAGACCGTTCTCAAAGTCCAAAAGGGAAAGAATCTTTATTCATACAAGAAAAACAAAATTTGCTAACCTGATTCAGAAGTCGCTCAACAACCCATCCCCCTTCCTTTCCACGCTTTGTAGTCAGAGCATCTATCTGCAACAAACAAAGCATCAAATATTAATCCCAAAAACTTGGCTATCAAAGCTTAAATCATCCATCTCAATTTTCAAACCCCAATTTAATCATTAAAAAGAAAATATCTCAAAAAAGAAAACCTCATCAAAGAACAGTATGCATGGAGAACAAGTCCTTGCACGACTAAATATTGTCCTAACTGCCAATTCACTCTCGCCAACATATTTGTTCAAAAGCTCAGGACCCTTCACATTAAAAAAATCATTAATTTAATATGAAATTGTCACGCGAGTAAATTATCGTGTAGAATCAGTAAAAAAAAGAAAACCTTAATGTGTATGAAATTTGCTCCTGCTTCATTAGCAACAGCTTTGGCAATTAACGTTTTTCCACAACCAGGTGGTCCATATAGCAAAAACCCTGTCTCCAAATCAACTCCATATTCCTGAAAATATAAGTCATATGAACAAAAACTGTTACTTTTTTGGATTGAATAAACCGTATATTAAAAGTAGTGACATAAATGGCAAAAATTTACCTCATACTCATCAGGATATTTAATACGTCTAACTATATAACGATCAAACTCCCTTCTCAAAATATCAAGACCTCCAACATCTTCCCATTTAACATTTGGAATGCTAGAAAACCCTTCTCTTCTAGAAGAAGGTTGAATCTGTTTAGCAGCTACCTCAAAATCCAACATTGTTATACAAAGTTTCTCCATTTCCTCAACAGTCCACGCCTTCCTCCACCAATCTTCATTTTCTTCTTCACTTTCTTTAGAAAGTTCCGACTTTCTTCCATCTATGATTCTCTTCATAGCAAGATTACCAGCTTTATTCACCAATGCTGCCAGATCAGCACCAACAAAACCCGGAGTTGCCCTAGCAATTTTCACAAGATCAAAAGCATCTTCACGTTTCAAATCACGTGTAAGAACTTCAAGAATCTTGATTCTTGCATTTTCATCAGGGACACCAAGACTGATCTCACGGTCAAACCTTCCGGGCCTTCTTAATGCGGGGTCCACAGCATCGGGTCTGTTGGTGGCACCGATTACTAAGACGTATCCTGGTTTGTTATCGGAAGGTTCTAGATTCTTTGAGGTGTCATCTGGTTTTGTGACTCTGTGGGATTCATCCATGCATGTCATTAATTGTGTCACTATTCGGCGTTCCATTTCTCTTTGAAGATTTTCTCTTTTTGAAGCGATTGCATCGATTTCATCGATGAAAACTATGGAAGGTGCTGTTCTGTATGCTTTTGAAAATAGCTCTCGTATGTTTTCCTCTGATGCCCCTGAAATTCTTGCAATAGAATAAGAAGTATGGATAGTTCTAGTTACCTAAGAAATAACAATGGACTTTCCATTCTCTTTAGACAAGAACAGATACATTACAATTGTTTAACATGATAACAAAACCTTGAAAGCTTCAAATTTATCCATAACTTACATAACGAAATTATAAATGCTGTGAGACCAGAAACAGCATAAAAACACTTAAACAAGATTAACCTTAAATTCTCTACCTCTGATAGTGGATATAGTTCAAAAGAAAAATGTAAGATTGCAAGCTTAAAGGTATAGGATTCAAGTAAAGAAAATAGAGGCTACCTGATATACCAGATACCAACTCAGTGGCTGAAATTTTATAGAATGGAACTCCAGTCTCATTGGCAATGGCGTGAGCTAGTTTAGTCTTTCCACACCCTGGTGGCCCATGTAACAAAATGCCAGCCATCGGCCTAACTCCAAGCCTTCGAGGTAACTCTGGATGGAATAAAGGAACAATCACCTCCATTTTCAATTCATCCAACACAACATCCA